ACCATTGTTAATTTCCTGTCACCTTGTTTGTAACTCTGTATTGTCTGTATTGGGCTTGTGATATGTTGTAAAATGTTGTATGTCTGTTAATGTTTCCCTCCTTTATCTTTAAAATAAAAAAAAAAAAAAAAAAAAGAAATGAGGAAGGAAACAGTTTTACCTTACTAAATTTTGCTGCATATTTTCAACCTTCATTAAAATCTGGATGCTGGTCTGACAGTGAATGTAGGCTTTCAACCTGAAATAAAAGCATCATATTGCAGGAAGTAAAACTGATTTTTAGTATATTTGAAGATAGTCTTATAAAGAGTAAGCATTTATAAACAACCAATAAAACTGAAATGGATCTACACAAGCATCAGAAAGAAGGTAAAGATATTTTCTAACCAAGGATCTGAAAAAAGAATTACCTTTCTTCTTTCTGTTCATCTTAAATTAAAAAAAAAAATCTATTTCAGCAAATTAATCAGCTCTTTCACATACTTATTTAAAAAATGCACCCAAATTAGTGACCGGGATTTTGTTTTACTGCCAAGTATATACCGAATGATAACACCAAGATTATCGGTTAGAAGGAAAGAAACTCAATTATCATAGCTATCTCAAAGACACACTTTGATTTCTGACATAGGTTTGGATCAGTCTAGGCAATACTGTTTATAAAATGCTGAAAAATGAGATTTAACTGTAACTGGATCGGATAAAACATTTAGAATCCACAGAGTTTAAATTTTAAACACCAGGTTACTCTGAAACCAAACCAAGCATTCATAGCCCCAGTAGGTACCATTTGGTGAAAATACAGTGGAGTCAACTGGGTTTCTGTCCAGGAGCGTGAATAACTCATACTCCAATAACACTTCTCTTTTTGAGCACTGCCTACTATCTACTGCCTTGTACTAGGAACTTTTAACATGCTATTTCTCTTAAACTTCAAAAACAACTCTATCTAGTAGGTACTGCCACTCTCATTTCACTGGTGGAACTATTAAAAGCCAGGAAGTTAAGTAATATACTCTTGATCAAATAGTTAATAAGGGACAGAGCTAGCTATTTTAACTCATATATCCATGACTGAAATTTTCCACTATGCTATGTTAACCACTTTTGTCCATGGTGTACTTCTGGACGGGAGGTAAAATGTACCTTACTTAGTTCTATGAAGACTTGGCTGAAATAGGATTTCCTGTCTTTAACAACTACTTGGAAAATCTTACTTTCCAGTTTTTAGCTCAACTTGAAAAGCAGTTTAGTTTAAGGGTTAAGAGGGCAGACTTTGACTCTGGACTGCTTGGGTTTGAATCCCAGCTTCCCTTTTTATTAGTTTCATGAGGTTCCTTAAACACTTTAAAGGTCAGTTTCCACATCTGTAACATGGGTCTAATAATGGTCTACCATGCTGTTACTGTGGGGATTAAATGAATTAGCACTGCTTTCCATAATAAGTATGTACCTAAAATACTTCAACATTTTAATTACAACCTCAGACAGTTACAAGATTTTTGAAACTTACCTTTGACGAATTACAGGATCAGACTTTTCAGGATCAATGTAAGTTTTTAGAATTTCATTAATAGTTTTATCATCTGGTACTCTTTCCAACAAAGAAAAAAAGATTATTATTTGTACTGTGCTACTAACGCTATTAACTTAGAATTATTAAATGTTGTGGCTTTTTTGATTTAAATAACTGAACAAAGATCTTTTACTTTACTCTTGGCAAAATATAACATCCTTTCAAGCAAAATATTACTCAAAGCTCAAAAAGACTTCTTGGGTGCACTTAACAAGATCTTAAAAACCATTTTGAAAAGTTCTGTATAAATCAACTATAAAAAATATGAAGCCTCTTTTAACATACACCTGTGCTCAAACATGAAGAGGACATGATGAAATGTATTTGCTACTTGCAAAAACAAAAGAAAACAAAATCTGAAGGAAGGTTTCAGATGATGCTAATTTTAATGCGTGTTAAAGTTTATTCATTCTAAATCATAATACCACATTAAAGAGTTGATACTAATTTTCCTGGAAACAAAGTATTTAAAGTTTTTCAACTGTGTTCTATGCATGCAGTATTTTAATGTATATAAAGCTACACAAATAAATTAAAGATAATTTTAAAATAACTTTTCTCAATCATTTATACATATTAGTTTATACTATTGGCTACACAGTCCCCTCTAGAAAACAATTCCTTTGTTTCTAGCGTGGTATCAACTTCAGTTAACAAAGTTCTTCACTAAAACTCATGCGGCAGTTAGTAAAAGAGGACAGTACCTATAATGTGGATAGACTTTATGCTAAATATATTAAATAGCAATTTTAAATTTTTTGCAACTTAAGGACTTAAATAATACATAGTCATTAAACTTTTAAAATGATACTTGATAATGTTCTTAATATGAAAAAGACAACAAACTATGCAAATTAATTCCAAAGAAAGCATATGCATAAAATAATGTACTTTCCAAGGAATACACTACAGTGTTAACAGTAATAACTTCTGAATAGACTTTGGATTATTTTTCATTTCCTATATAACTACTCTGCCTGAAAAACAATATTTTTAGCCAATTTTTCTTACATCCTTCTCCTTAATATGTGCTTCCCCTGCTCAAATAATTGTCAGGATTTTTCTGTTAATCATTTCCAACAGAGTTCTCCCACCTTTGTAGGTACTTCTAAAAAGTACACTATTTAGGGTTGGGAGGGTTATTTTTCTTTCTTTTCACATTTAAAAACAGTCATATTGTATGCTTTAGGTTTTAATTTTTTTTCTTGTTATTTCTGCTTGGTCATTGATAAGCATAGCTATAGTTCATTTATCTTCAGCATTGCTTCATTTTCTTTGTGTGCCTATAACCACAACTTATTCTACCACTGACATACACTTACTTAAGTTTAATTACAGAGCCTTAAAATAAAAATAGTCAGTTTTAAGGAGACTGGTGACACTATACCTCTTTTCTATGTACTCAGCTTGACTTTGAGGAAACAGCAGCTTCACGTGCCAACAAAACTGTTGTTTTCTAAAAGGGAAAATATGTGAAAATCAAGGTGGATAATAAAAGTCTGAATACAAATCAAGCTTCCTGAATTTTCTGAGATAATTCTAAAGTTAGATTTTCGAATATTTTTGCTATTAAGACCTATTTACTTTTTTCTAGGATTTCAGAAGCTATGTTTTTGACACAATATTGTCCTTGCAAGTGTTAAGAGAAAAAAAAGTGAAGCATTTCTGAATTGCAAGGACTTCACATTCCTGAATTAGAAGAGAATTTCTCATCGTTCGGGGGCTTTTGAGATCAATGTGCTACTCCTTGAAATTTACAAATAAATTTCCTCATGACTAAATACAATGAGCTGATGTCTTTGCCTGACTAGTCTGGAAATTAGGTGAATGAAGTATTGTCCAGTGGAGTCCAGCTGGCTGCAGATATACTTCTGAGGCATGAGTACGTGCATTCAGTAGCAAAACAGTAGACAACAAGCCGGTTGCTAAGCAAAACGCACTCTGAGCTAAGTTCCTTTGCCTTGAGGTCTAAACTTTGGTTGATATAGAATCAACAGTAACAATGAACTAAATGCTTGATTTTAGAAAAATGACCACATGTCCTGTTTAATACTTAAATGTAGTCACACTAAACAGTATTTCCTTAAAAAAATAAATCTAACTTTCAAAACATTGAACCACTACAGATACTTAAATGCCTTCACTACATGATGGTTTTATACAATGTTTTCCTGTCTTAGAAGAAATTTTTAACAACCTGCTACGGTTGGCAGCAACTCCTCCAAGCCATGATCAGTGTCTTCTGGAAACCTACCCTTTAGTGGTATGTTCCCTAAATTTAAAATAACTTTCTTATAATATAGCCTGGTAGTATTATCTTCCAACAAACATGTATACAATTTAGTCAATATCTTTATTAGAAGATAATGACCCAAGTAAAATTTGTGTCAAGTAAAATTTCTTTTAGGTTATCACATATCAGAATGACAGTTTTCTTAAATAGTGAGATAGTTTCTGACAAGAGCTAGAGAGAAATATGATTATGCTTATGTTGACAGTACCACTTACAGAAGAAACTTTTTACAAATAAAAGTCAAAAAGCACCCTTTACTAAAGACCGGATGTCTAAAGCCTCAAAGGAAAAGAACTTAAAAAATTTTTTGATCACAAAGCAGTTAGTAGTTTTCAATAAATAATTCTTCCTAAACAAAACCCCTTGCAATGTTCTTTATCTGTGAAACAGGCATATAACATAATCTCACTATAAAAAGCCAAGAGATGCCATATTTCTTTTTAAGAAATAAGATAGTTTTTTATTTTAATGCACAAAAATGCTTTAAAAATGTATTTATTTTCCCATGTTAACTTACAGGGGGGAAAAGGGAGCCCAATGTGTTCACCTTGCAGAATTGTAAATCGTAATTATCTCTACTCATTGCTTGAGTAATTTTGAGAACCATTCACCTTTCTTAACATTCAGTAGACCCTGAATACCTTCACAAGGCACTTAACATTCCAATCACAAAATGAGAAAAAGCCCTTGGAAGGAATTTTTTTGCTGTAGTTAACTAGTTGTGATTATAATGAAGTCATTTAGTATTTTATTGTGTATAAATTACGACTATTACAAAAATCTTTCTATACTTAGCCTCAGTTCAAACATGAACAAATTTGAAAAGTTCATTTACTTTTAAAATGTCATCTTGCAGTACTTTAAAAACAAAGAAAATAAAGAGGATAAACAGCTTTCACTATTCTACTCAGATTTAATCCATTTCCATATTATCATATTTTTGAGACACATTATTTCTTCTAGAAAATAAAAATTTGTTCATACAGTTGATGACCTTTTGCACTGCACCTTCATCCACAGTAGGGAATGGGAAGTGAACGGGTATTTATAAAGACCTGCTAAAATGAGTAAGTTAGTTTTCTGTAAAGTAGCTTCCAATTCTTTAATGTTTCTGAAATTCAAAGTAAGTTTTGACATGGGCAATCAAATCTCTTCCTGAGACTTAAAGAATTTCTAATTTTCCAAAATTATACATCATAACCTACTTAAAAAAATTATACATACACCCAAATCCCAGAAACATTATTTTGATTATTTTTCACAGATAGATTCTACGGAGTACAATCACTAGGATAGCTCAAGGTTTCTGAAACTCAGCAGTATAGACATCTTAGGTCAGACAGCTGTTATCAGGGGAGGGGGCTGCTCTCCGCACTACAGGATATGAAGCATTCTGGACCTCCACCCATCAGATCCCAGTAACAACCCTCTCCCAGTTCTGACAACTAAAAATGCTCGCAGACAGTGCAAATGGCCCCTGGGAGGCAAGATCACTGTGTAAAAACCATTAGGATATAGGTCTGAACATTTAATATTACCTCTAATGCTACTGTTTCCTAAATTCAACAAGTGCTATCAATTAATGTCACTGTGCCTTTGGCATATCAACTTTCTAAAGAATGAAAATACTGTGTCTAGAATATTCTACGTGACTAGGTACTCTCCAAGGCATACTTTAGTTTGAAAACAGACTGGTGAAGTAATGGTAGCAATTTTTAAACCTAATGCTACCTTCTGGACAACTGATAAAGTAACAGAAACAATGATTCCTTCTCTGAGTCCCATGAAACCCTATTTGTTTACAGCAAAACTTTTCCCGCACCTACCCCAAACATCAATACAAGGATGCTTGCACATACACACACAAACAATGCACTCTTAATGGGGGCAGTATTACCCCCATGTGGGCAAAACCTAGTCTCTGAAGGGCCAACAACAGTTTAGATATTATGGTATCAAAATACTGCAGGGGAGACAACTATAAAAGTGTCTCAAAGGGCACCTGGAATGTGATAATGAAAAAAAGTGAGAAACAGACAGCACATATATTAAATGAAGGAAATAATACTATTTTACACCTACTTTTAAGTGAGTTACACAGGCTACTCATTTACCAACTCTTGCTTACTAGAAACTGTTAAGGATAATTCACAGTTGCAAAAAAATGTATGGGGATGATGGTATATTTGGGAAGAGGGGTCCTATGCACATATACTCAATTATTCTTCTGACTTCATGACTTAAAATTGCCATTTGTAATATCTGAAACACTACCAGAATCCCATGAAACATGAAAATGAAAAGTTATCAGCTGCTTTCCAGTGGTACTGCTATCATGTTACAATAAGATGTTCAAATTCATTAAAAAATGAAACAGTTTTACCTATCAGATTTTATAGAGATGTTTTAAAAACTGTATTAGAGAAGTGTGGTGAAAAGGACACTCCATTGAATAAAGTGGTACAAGTACACTGGGCAAAATGCACACTATTAAAATATGTACAAAATACACACTACACTACATTTTATAATAGGAAAAAATTAGAAACAACCTAAATGTATGTCATCAGAAAGTTGATTAAATGAATTATGTAGCTATATACAATATATGTTAAGCAGCTATACAAAAAAGACAGAACTACAATAATGTCATTGTGCCCCATGCATCTCTACTTTCTCAAGAATGGAAATATTTCCAAATAACTAAAAATACTCCTAGATATTGCCAATGTCCCTGAGAGGTAGAAATTACTCTTTGAAAACACTGGGATAGAGATTTAAATATTTATTATTATTCTGAATGCATCACTATTACTGGTCATGCTACTATGCACTGATGTTATATGCAGCGATGTAGAAAAATGTGTATGTTGAATTACAGTATCTATATTTGAAATATAGGGTTACAGGGGCTGGGGATTTAGCTCAGCGGCAAAGCGCCCGCCTGGCAAGCGCAAGGTCGTGAGTTCAGTTCCCGGTACTGGAGAAAAACCAAAACCAAATAAATAAATAAATAAATAAATGAAATATAGGGTTATATACCATGTATCTACAAGTATGAAAGTATGTCCCAAATTTTTAATTATAGTTATTTCTTGACACAGTAAAAAAGATGATTTACTCAAGAACACATCTACATTAAATGACTTCCACATAATGACTTGTTATTTTTTATAATCTGCAAAGTTTTTTTTTCCACAGTGAAAGACATGATAGAAAGAATTCTAACATTTTTTCTAAACTTAAAAATATTTCCTTATAAGAATTATTAAATGTCCCCTTTGTATTTTAGAAACTACTACCCAGAAAGAACTGGAGTTACATATCCAGTTATTTTGATGGTTTCAAAAGTACCTTTCTAAAAAACAGATCCCAATTTTGAGTTACATAATTCTCAGAACTAAAATTTCTAATACAAAATTGAAATGAACTCAAATATTCTTGTTCTTTAAAAAAAAAACCCCACCATTTCTCATTCCACTCCAACACTGATTAACCAACATTTACTCAAAGAATATTACTAAGGGCTCACTAGGCACTAAGGACAGAAACTGACAGGGTACTAGGCCAATGCCAACTTCTTTGTACAGCCACGAATTAAACACCAATCTAGGGTACCATGCATTCTTCCTTCCACTGTATAATTTTCATATGAAAGGACTCTATTCTCTTGATATCCTACACAGCAAGAATACTTAATATACTATAATGCTCAGAAGTGGAATAGGGGAAAAATTAAGAGAACCTTGTGTTTGAATCCTAGTCTAACAATTTAATCACTTAATGTGATTTTTGAGCAAGGGACAATTTCTTTGTGCCTCAGTGTTCTCAGTAAAATTGGCAAAATAAGACTGTATCATAAGATTAAATGAGTAAGTATATCCAGAGTTTAGAATACAGTACTTAAACTGTTACTATTATCAAAATGTTAGAATTTTACATTCCATTCAGTGTCCTGAATTTGGAAGTTTAATGCCTTTAACTGAAAATATTTTGTTGGGAGTTTATAAGCAAACTCTCATTACATGGAAACTAGTACTTAATGGCTAGAGATAAAAGTAGATATGTGCATCAATATCATATTATAAAGGCCTTGAATGTATGTAAGTAGTATGGATTCTATTGTATAGTTAATGTACAATAAAAATTTTAAAGAGTGGAAT